GTATTTGATTAGCACTTTGGCACACCAATCATGGGGCCGATCGCTGATTATATAAAGCAATGCTAGTTGAGAAATGCTAAGGACTCTTTATAGACCATCTGTCATTTTTTACAGTTTAACGTTAATTCTGGTTTTAACATTATACAATATTATGTCAAAAACATGAGGTGACAGAATTTATAAAATGCCCTACTTTTGAGAGTTGCTTAGTGTTCTCATGGTAGTTTAATTGGAGTCTGCTGCTGATAGTGCATATTAGCCGATTTCATTGTATGACAACAATGTAGAGTCAGATTTTTTTTTATTTTTCATAATTATTTTGAGCTTGTTTGGAACTAGTTCTATTTAAAAGTGCATTCGGTAAAGCCAATTATTTTAATTTTTTTAGGCCGCGAAGTCATAATTTCAAGACTGCCAAGGCCAACTGATATCATATAAACCATCCAACTGATAACACAGATGTTTCTAGCTTTGGGTTCGGCAGAAGACGGATAATGGAACAACCATTTCGAAGTACGAATATTCGAAGCTGCAATTCGAAAGAGTATAGTTAGTGCTGATTCAAATAAAAAACATGATCCAACAGTTCTGCTGCATATGTATCCTCAAAGAAGAGAACAAGTCACTTGGAGAAGAAGAAACTTACCATATTCTTACAGCTGATGGAATGGCAAGTTTGACAGGGGGATGATAACTGCGCGTAACTTGCCAACAACAAGAAGTTAACTCAATTCGAAATGCTAATTGCCAACGCCGCACCATTGTTTCCTAGTCCAAATTTAAAACACAGGGTCCAACAAACACGTGAAGAAAAGCTGTGACTCCAGAGCTGATCATCATTGGAAACACATTGTTTTGCGTCTGTAAAAAATCTGTTGAGGCATTGGAGGAGGCTGAAGGCGAACAGGCTCGGAATTATCCACCTGTTGAAGGTTCCTGCTTCGGCGGACATCTCGTGGTTTTGGCCAGGAGCCATGAGAATGGTGCTTGTGTAAAACCAGATGAGAGCTAAGGGAATGCTTACTGCTAATAATGTTTGCATTGCTCTTTGCATGTGGAGTCCAAGCATGTGGTACTGTTTGGCTCCATAGGCTTGCCCAATTAGGGTTTCTAATGCACTTCCCATTCCCAACCGTGAGACATGTGTGATATTTTTTATTGAAATTGAATGAAAATTATCAAATTTAAAAAATGCGAGAAAATTTATTTAGAATAAGAATTACTTTATCAGTTTCATTCCTTCCACAACTGATAATGTTAGTGAACAATATTTAGAGTTTGTTTGGAAGTGTTTGGAATAATTAATGTCGGTTTCAAATAATTAAAAGCGTTTCTGATCATGTTTAACATAAAAATTTAAAGTGCTCATATGTTTTAAATGTACCATGAATCACTTATATTTTCATCAAGTATTTTGTCGTGATTTCTACATAAACACTTGAAAATTATCAGCAGAAGTGTTTTTTTTTTTTAGAAATATTTTTAAACGGGCCCTTAAAAATAAAAGTATTGAAAGAAGCTTGTTGTGTATTATCATCCTAAACATAATGGCTTACATAAATTTCCGTCAACCATCTAATTGGAGTTTCATAAGTTTCCGTCAACCAATTAGACAGCAGGACAAAGTATGAACAAGTGGTGCGGAAGAGAAACCCAACTGACCAAAATACAATGAATCCAGTGACATTAGCTAAGGAAGTGGCCATGGATCCTGGAAAGAGCGAACTCTCCAAGATATTGGCCGACAAACATGACTGATGTGACTTGTAAGCTGTACTGCAACAGGCTTACTGCAATATTCACGGACTTGATTGTCTGCCCTTCCATTTCGGTGTTCTCTCTGTTTCCTTCTGTTTTGTGTGTTTACGGTTTATTTTTTTTATAAAAATAATAAAATAAAAAAATAGTAATATAAAATGTTGACATGACTTAACCGTGACCGTACAAACAAGAGAGCACGAGAAGGATACCGAAATGGAAGGGCAGACAATCCAAGTCCATATTCACAGGCCCTGCCAGCCATGGCTGCAATTTTGCTTCTTCAATAACATCCCCACCTCTACAAATTGTTTGCTGAGATGATATTTGCTTCATCATCAAATTCTTGATGGTTTGGAATTAGAGGACTTCTTTCACAAAAATTATCAACTTTGCCACTTAAATCCTATTGTATTTGTTTATTGATAATCACAGGAGAATCCATCCAGAAATAATAAAAAATAGAGAAAATGTCAAACAATACATAAAATATGAGGTATAATACGATAGAACAACTTCCAAAACTTTCATCGTCACTTGTTAATTTATCTGTCATAATATGTCATTTTTATTAGTGAATGACGATTGGCCCACAGAAGCAGCATTTTTAAAATTGCTGTTTTTTCAAGTTCGGTAAAAACATGATTTCTAGATGGCTAATTATATTAACACCCTATAAATTATTGAATAAACTTCACATACTTAATACACCCCATATTTGCTTTTTCACTTAAAAATTATCTTAATACACCCCACATACTTTCTCATAATACCCCCACACCCCACATTCTCAATATACATCTTATAATACCCCCACACCCCATATTTGCTTCGATCCTTAAAGTCTGCTAATGATCCAGGTGTAGAAGTTAATTAATAAATCAAAACTGAATCGGTCTCAGATTTCTTTAAATATAGGTCATGTCTCTCCTCATTTTCCACTGATCATCTCCCAATGACAAGAAAAGAAGAAGAAAAAAGAAAGAAAAACTCATGATGAGAAACGTACGTCAATCAAACGGCTAAAGATTGAGAATAGGAGTTCATGTGGAGAATGGCTATCCTCAATTTGTAAAAGTAGTATAGGACTCTAGCACTAATACGACTCATGTTACTGGGTACGCATGATTAATATGAACACTAAAAGATGAATATGAATATAGAAGTTTAAATAATGCAGCAAACGCAAGATTAAATAATTATTGATGTCATCGAAATCACTAAAACAATAAAAAATGTGAAGTCTTATCTCATGTAAAGCTTCAGAAACATCGATTTTGTATTCCATTCGTCAAAAACATTTTTTCTCAATCAACATGTTTGTAGTTTCATTGGTTAGAGTTTTATTCAACAATGGAAAATGAGAGGGTTTTGATAGTTGAGAAAATAAATAATACGCTAAAAGTGATTTGGGATGTATTTATAAATTTTTATTTTTTTTAAAACCTAATAAGGTCAAAATTGTCATTGCATAGTGGAGTAAATAAGTAATTTAATATTAAATTTTAATATGAGGTGCATTCAACATGTTGTGAGGTGCTAGGATAAAAAGCCTTTCTAGATATGCCAAACTTAAAAAAGCAAGATGAGTGCTACTGAAAGAATTTGTCGACATTGATGCAATTTATCGACATATGCTTGACATACGTTACATCAAATATTAGTAGGCACAAAAAATATCCGTATTAAACATTCAAATGATCCTCAAAAGACATTTGCATGTATATTTTCCGGACACAATAGTCGTCGGACCACTTCGTCCCTGCTTCCATCGCCCCCACTGCCCCCGACCCTCCACCCCCACCACTGCAAGTCAGCCATAAACACACCAAACCTAAAAAGCAAGTCAACGTTCATAACATCCCGAGAAAAATGAACCAATCCGACGTTATCAGTCTTTTATCAGAACAAAAAGTAACATTTTTTTTCAAAACTGGTTTCAACCACAATGAACATAGTAATGCAGACAGCCCCTGTCTCGAATTGAGAACGCGAAAGCAATGTTCCTACGATGGCAGCGTCCTATACGTGCGTCATTGATTTCCGGCGTCGTTTTCTAGTCGTCTGGTTCTCCAGTTACCGCCGCTGTCAAGAGCCATTCGTGACTGCTGCCTGCCTGCTCTTTTTCAATGCGGCGTAAATTTAAATCTGGGTCCAAAAAAAATCAACATGATTATGGCTAGTATTATCTTTTCTCCACTTTTATTTTTTTTAATATTAGAGAGAAATTAAAATTTTCTAACTTCATGCATCTTCTAATTTCAAAAAATCAGCTTAATATCTTATAATAAAAAATTAATATTCAAACATAAATCTATCTGCAAAACATATGACTTAAGTAACACATTTTTTTTAAGGGAGACAACTGGTGGCAAACCACAATTATCCACCCCTTCAGGGGGCCGGGAAGACTCACAACCATTCTGGGGGCCTCACAACCCTTCCAGGGGCCGAGAAGATTCATAGAGGCATTTTAGCCTTCATCTAGCCACAAGTCCAACTTCCACACCAACATCGACTTTCGGACCTGAGACTTCCAATTTTTAGTTTTAAGGAAATCTCGCAATCCGTCATTTACTATTGGACCACCGGCTCGTGTTTAAGTAACATATATTTGAATCTATATTATATTTGTAAGCAAGATATGAATGGGGTTTAGAGCAAGAAATAACAAAAAGAAAAATAAATAAGAAATAATAATTAAAGAGATATTAGGAAGAAATTTAATTTTTTGTGTGCTTCTTAAAAAAACACTGCTTATGCTGTTATGTGAGAATAAAGTCGTGTTTGGTAACTTTTTTATGTAAAAGTGTTTTTACCAAAAAAAACTGTGTCTGAGTGTTTGAGGGTGTACTTGTCATTTCAAAATTTCATTAAATGAGCACTGATTACTTTGGAAAAAAAACATTTTTTTTAGAAGCTAGACCATGCTTATACTTTTTTAATGTCATTGACAACAATTTTTATAAAACACACTTTTTTTTTTGTTTTACTAAACATATTTAATGTTCTAGATTTTTAATAAACTATTTTTTTTTAAACACCACCATCTCAAACCAGCTCTAAAACTTATTAGTATAGAGATAATTATTGATAATAAAATAATACTAAATTCAATGGATAGACTAAATTTAATAAACTGAACTATTCATAATATATTATGTAAAAAAGTAGACATATATCAAGTTCGTTTTTGTGTGTAATATCTTCTTCTTCTTCTTTTTTGTTGTATTTAAACCCTAATCTTTGCCTCTTTGGTGGCCAAGCAAATAAGATAAGGATTCACAAAACCGCTCTGTTTTTCCTGCTGTCATATTGGCTGTATATACGCAGAGTCATATAAAAATGTGAACTTTTGGTCAATTTCCGTGAAATCTCATAACTTTCTCCCTCCGTCTTCTACGTTCCAATATCCAAACCTCCAAAGTCAATACGTCTCACCGGCTAGTGAGGCAGGCGGCCCCCGACGATCCAGCTCCACGCTTCCGCTGCAGACTCCGCCATGGAAGAGAGCTTGCTGTTACCGAAATACGGAGAAGAAAGAAGTAACACTAGTATTCTGACGTGGAGTTCTTTCTTCGAAGAAGTGAAGAGGTTGGGATGCATAGCGGGTCCCATGGTTGCCGTGGTTTTATCTCAGTACTTGTTGCAGGTCATTTCGATGATGATGGTCGGCCACCTGGGCGAGCTCGCTCTCTCCAGCACCGCTATCGCCATCTCCCTCTCCGGGGTCACCGGCTTCAGTCTTTTCGTAAGTCTTTCTTTCTTCCTTTGTATCTTTTGGAATTAACGTCCAACTGTTTTTGTTGCTCGTGAATCAAGATTGCATTGTTTTCCAAACTGCGTTATTCTAAAATACTATAATTTGTCGGGGTGAGAGACTCGAACTCGGGTGCAGAAGGACCATAATCAACTGGCCTAACAGACGTCTGCCATATTCTACACCACCATTGTAGATTATCCTTCTTATTGCATGATTGTCCTTGAATTTTTGCTCTAATCTTTACCCAGTAGCATTTGCATCTGGCTAGTTTTTATCACTTGGTCTGATACTATCTGATGAATACGAATACGACACCCAAGACTGCATTTCGGATTCTATAACTACATAATCAAAGACGTGTTGAAATGAATGACTCAATTCCACTGCACCACAAGAGACAGAGTCACAGAGCACGAAGAGATTGACCAGTTGGAGAAATTTTTTATTGTGACCGGAACACGAGTTTTTATATAAGTGTTAGAAAATTTTAATATTTAAGTTATTAACTTTTTAACACCAATATATCATAATTTGTATAATAACATGTGGTGTACCATCTTGTGTTTTGATCATACTGAAAAATCTCTCGACCGGTTGACGTCTATGTCGTTTTTGGCTGTAATATATTTGGTTTCTTTCGCTTTGGCCAAAGATTTCAGGTTTTATTGATTAATTAATCACAAGTGGTTCATTAGCACTTTGTCATCAATCATGGGGCCGGCTAATAATGGGTTATATAAATTAATGCGAGTGTTGCTGGGGCATCTTTTGCTAATATTCACTGGCACTGCTGCAGGACAATAGTTGCACATTCATATTAATTTGTCTTCTCATAAATATTTTATCCACTAAAATGTTTCCTGTCTACTATGCTTGGACACAACGGCATACCCTACTATTCCCATATCATGTTGTATCTCCATAACTATGTCCGTGTCCATGCATCATAGTTTCTTGTATAAACATTGTCCACAAACCATGTAGAAGTTGAATCTGTGTGCACCGTCGGTTTGTAAAAATACTAAAGATGTGAGGATGCTATGATGTATATCATGAAACTACTTGAAGATAATCTTATAAGCACCAAATTGATGATGATTAAGTACGAATTTCGGCGTAGATGACAAGTTTCAGTGTATTAATGCAAGATTGAAACCATTAGCCGTGCATTGGTAAAGGGTTGATCATGTACTGGGTTTTATATAGATTTGTGTCTAATAACTAAGTGGATTTTGTAACTTGCTGTTTGAACAGTTGGGAATGGCTAGTGCGTTGGAGACTCTGTGTGGTCAGGCATATGGAGCAGAACAATATCAGAAACTTGGACTCCAAACTTACACTGCTATATTTTCTCTCAACTTGGTCTGCCTTCCTTTATCTTTGATATGGATTTATATGGAGAAGTTACTGATTTTCATGGGTCAAGACCCTGTAATTTCTCGTGAAGCCGGCAAGTTCACAATCTGGCTTCTTCCCGCACTTTTCGCTTATGCCACTCTTCAGCCACTCATTAGATACTTTCAGACACAAAGTTTAGTAACTCCTATGCTCATAAGCTCGTGTGCGACCCTTCTGTTCCATATTCCTCTGTGTTGGCTTCTAGTATTCAAGTCTGGAATGAACAACCTTGGAGGAGCATTAGCAATCAGTATTTCATATTGGGTGAATGTGATTCTACTTGCATTGTACATGAAGTTTTCTGATGCTTGTTCCAAAACCCGAGTTCCAATTTCTGTGGAGATCTTCCATGGAATTGGAGAGTTCTTCCGCTTTGCCATCCCTTCTGCAATAATGATATGGTAGTCAATTTCTTCCTTGCATTCTAGTCTCAAGAAGACGTTTTACTATGCTTGATTCTTACAATATGTTCTTTCCAACGTCAGTTCTTTTCTTTTTTCTCCATTGATTTTCGTTGATGGTTGCAGCCTTGAGTGGTGGTCATTTGAGCTGCTTATTTTGCTGTCTGGACTTTTACCAAATCCGGCTCTTGAAACTTCAGTTCTGTCTGTATGGTATATAGTCTGTATAATAAAAATCAGTTTGTCAATTTGATGACCATGTAGAAAATATGTGATTATTCTCAACTGATTGTTCTGGACAGTCTGCAGACGATTTCTACACTCTATGCAATACCATATGGGTTTGGTGCTGCAGCAAGGTATGTTCATGCACATTTATACCGTCAGATTACATTTACACCATCAGCTTATCTTTTTCTTTCTTTGCTTATTGTGCAGTACTAGAGTTTCAAATGAACTAGGAGCTGGTAACCCACAAGGTGCTCGAATAGCTACTTTTGCTGCAATGTTTCTTGCAGTCGCAGAGACAAGTATAATCACCACGACCCTCTTTGCCTGCCGCAATGTATTTGGTTACACTTTTAGCAATGAGAAAGAAGTCATCGATTACGTCAAAATCATGGCTCCTCTAGTTTGCCTGTCTGTTACCCTAGACAGTTTTCAAGGGGTCCTTTCGGGTTTATTTCTTTATCTTCTCCTGTTAGCAGTAAATAATTGAGTTCTTTCATGTTTCAGTCTAATGTTATGTGTTTTGTGAATGGTTAAATCAGGTATTGCTAGAGGAACTGGGTGGCAGCATATAGGGGCTTACATAAACCTCGGAGCGTTTTATCTTTGTGGGATTCCAGTTGCAGCCACATTGGCTTTCTGGGTACAACTGAGAGGAAGGGGCCTTTGGATTGGAATACAAGTCGGTGCTTTTGTGCAAACCATGATGCTCTCTTTAGTAACAAGTTGTACAAATTGGGAAAAGCAGGTCTGTTTCTCAACCTTAACTCTCTTTATAAAGTTAATCTTCTCCAGTTGCTTCGACTATTCCACTATTTTCTGTTTGGTTGCCAAGAATCTGGGAGGGAAGACGAAGAACATTTCGTATCTTATGACCACCATTCTAATCCATTCTCTTAAACTGTCTCAAGATGTGTTCTTTTTCTTCAAACTCCCCACTGCTTTGGTATTTCCTTGTTTCTTCTTGGCACTTAAACAGAGCACCTATCCAAAACTAATGGGAGTTGCCAGCCATCCGCAGACACAACGTTTGGTTAAACATGGCCTCCGAGAGGATTTTGATGTTGGTCTTTTGATGTTTCAGGCAAGTAAGGCAAGGGAGAGGATATTTGAGGGAAGGCCCCAACAAGTCAATGGCTTGTGTGACAAGGCAGAGAGTAATGAGTTTTGACGAGCACAATTCTCTCTATCGCGGGATTAAGGAAGAAGTATTAGCTTGATCCATACTTTTGTCAACAATAGTTGCTAGACATTATTGGTATAGACAATAAACTTGTAATTATTCCTGTAGTTAGCCCTCATTACTTTACTTTATAGCTAGCCATCATTACTTTACTTTATAGCTAGCCATCATTACTTTGCTTTGCTTTCATTTTCTCCTTATTTTCCTCTTCGGTGTTTTCCTCATGTAATCATCATTTGGCTTGTCCACTTGTTAGGACTAGTTTTTGGCCCTGTATAAGAGAGGACTTCCCTATTGTAAACAAAGAATAATGAACTATATTTCAATTTCTGAGATGGTATCAGACCAGTCGATCATGACTGACTCTTGAACCTCAAAAACAGAAAAAAGCTTCCGCCATATCATATCTCAATCATCATATCAGTTTTATTTTTATTTCAACTTCACTGATCTTAAGCCTATACAATGGCTAGTGATGATGAAGTATCAGACCCACCAATTCAGTCATTCACACCAGGTGAATCAAACTCCACCACACAAGTGGTCACCATTCAAAATGATAATTCCTATTTCTCTGCAGGAATTAAATTTGATGAGAACAACTATTCTCTATGGCATCAAGTCATAGAGATGAAAATTGCTGGTCGTGAAAAACATGGGCATCTTTCCGGTGATACCAAACAACCTGCAATCACAGACCCACTGTATAACAAGGGGCGAGCTGAAAATTGACAAGTCAAAAGTTGGTTATTTGATGCTATGACACCCAATCAGATGAAGCAGTTCATCCGTTACGACACAGCCATGCAGGTATGGGATGCCATAAAAAAGACTTACTCAGATGGCTCTGATGAAGCCAAAATTTATGATCTTCATAAAAGGTCATTTACCATGAAGCAAAAAGGAGCTCCTATTGCTAACTATTACAGCAATCTCACCGAGATTTTTCAAGAACTTGATCAACTTAGTCCTACTAACATGAAGCACCCAAATGATATCTCATCAAGGCAGCAAGAAATTGAGCGACTTCGAGTCTATATTTTTCTTGCAGGATTAGACAACAAGTTTGATCAAATTCGTGGTGAGATTTTAAGGATGGAGCCCAAACCTGGTCTTGAAATAGCATACTCTCATGTCAAACATGAAAGCAATCGACAAGGAACCGTGTCAGAAAGTGCCACCATGCCTGAAGCTACTGTGCTCTTTACCATAAATTCTCGATCTCTACAATGACCTCGACTTCAAAACATAAACTCCTCAACAGTTGATCGATTTCGTAATCAACCACCTATGCAGTGCACCAAATGCGGATTGAAAAATCATACTATTCAAGGCTGTTATGAGATTATTGGCTATCCAGAATGATAGGTTTACAAAGGACGAAAGAAGGAATCTAGCAGAGCATCATTCACCACCTCTGAGTCTTTTCAAGATGTTAGCTCATCTGACCATGTCCCAAAAGCCTTGAACACCTCAAGTATATCTAATTCTACATCCGCTAATACTTGTAATAAATCGTGGATTATTGATATAGGTGCCACAGATCACATGACATCTGATGCTAGCATTCTTCACTCACTAAAAACAGCCAACCAGACATTCATTACCAGTGCCAATGGTTCAATCTCTCCGGTTACTGGAGAAGACTCTCTTTCACTAACTTCCTCACTCAATCTTGATCATGTCCTAGTTGTACCATCTCTAGATTATGATCTTTTATCTGTTTCTCAAATTATTGACTCCCTTAATTGTTTTGTTTCCTTTTGGCCACTATATTGTCTTTTCCAGGATTTGCTCACAAGGGCCGTGATTGGTTGTGGTACTAGAAGGGGCAAACTATATTATTTGGACTTAACGGAAGAATGCAACAATAGATTGAGTCAAGTACATCATGTAAGCAAAGACGAATCAACCCGAATGAAGAAGATTTGGTTATGGCACAGGCGATTAGGACATCCCTCATTTGGTTATCTTAAACTTTTATTCCCTCAACTTTTTCCCCAATTCAAAGAATCTGATTTCCATTGTGAAATTTGTATTTTGGCCAAAAGTTATCGTGTTTCCTATCCATTAAGATTAAATAAAAGTTTTGTGCCATTCATGGTCGTTCATTCTGATGTTTGGGGTCCTGCCAGAATTCTTACCATTTCTGGATTTAGATGGTTTGTGACATTTATAGATGACTGTACTAGAATGACCTGGGTGTTTCCAATGAAGCATAAGAGTGAAGTTCCTACCAAGTTCAATATTTTTCATCAATATATTGCAACTCAGTTTGACAAGAAAATTCAGACACTCAGGTCTGATAATGGAGGAGAATATGTCAATCATGCTCCGCATAACTATTTGCAAGAGCATGATATTGTTCATCAAACCACATGTGCCTATACACCTCAGCAAAACGGTGTAGCAGAGAAGAAGAATCGACATCTCTTAGAAGTGGTTCGTGCATCTTTATATGGTGCCAATATGCATTATAAGTTTTGGGGGGAGGCACTGTGTTCTACAACATATCTCATAAATCCAACACCATCCAGTACTCTCCAATATCAAACACCACTCCAAACACTTAACCACCTTCTCACCATTCCATCTATCTCAAACTTAGAATCACGTGTCTTTGGTTGTGTGGCTTATGTACAGGTTTATCCACATCAATGGGGGAAGTTTGATCCATGTGCCTTCCGGTGTGTATTCTTGGGTTATTCTGATACAAAAAAAGGATACAAATGTTTTCATCCTCCTACCCAAACTCTATACATCATTGCAGATGTCCAGTTTCAAGAAGGAGAAACATATTTTGCAAAGGGAGACATTGAGTATCCCCTTCAGGAGGACAATAGTATGTTTGAAAAGGATACCCAAGACATTAGCAACATTAAAATTGTTGCAGAAATTTCAGAAACTGAGATAAATGTTGATAAGTTGGCAGACGACTGTAATCAAACAATACATGCAGAAACAGAATCATTGACTCCAACATACACATAAGTACATCCAGCAACGTTAAGTCCAGATGGCTTGGGATTGCCTTATTCGATAGTACCACATGATCAATCAGCCCTTGAACACAATCAACAGGTAACTAATCAATCTAATTCTATTGAGATCGTATCTGAGTCAAGTCAAATTGAGTCCACTAATTATCAACTTCCCCCTCGAAAATCTCGAGGGATTCCTAAACAGTTATATGATCCTGATCCTAGAGCCAAGGTTAAATACCCAATTGCTAACCATGTGTCCCTTCATAGGCTATCTACATCATGTGAGGCATTTATAAATCAATTATCCACTGTATCTATTCCTTGTAGTGTAGAGGATGCTATGAAAGATGCTAGGTGGACTTGTGCAATGAATGAAGAAATGGAGGCACTCCAGAAATATTTCACTTGGGAGTTAACTAACCTACCCAAGGGGAAGAAATCAGTTGGTTGCAGGTGGATATACACAGTAAAATTCAATGCAGATGGCATTATGGAGCAATACAAAGCAAGATTAGTGGCAAAAGGCTACACCCAGACCTATGACATTGACTACAGAGAGACTTTTGCCCCTGTACCTAAGATAAGCACTATTCGTGTACTTTTATCCCTAACAGCAAACCTTGACTGGCCTTTGCAACAATTCGATGTCAAAAATGCTTTCCTGCATGGAGATTTAGAAAAATAAGTTTATATGGAGCTTCCCCTAGGATGCAAGCTGGATCCCAATCAGACCAACAACATTTGTAAACTAAAAAAGTCTTTGTATGGTTTAAAGCAATCACCAAGAGCTTGGTTTGGGAGATTTACCAAATCGATGAAATTTTTCGGATACAAGCAAAGCAACTCAGATCATACTCTTTTCTTAAAGCATAAGAAAGGTAAAATCATTGCTCTTATTGTATATGTGGATGGCATGGTGGTTACAGGAAATGATCCAGAAGAGAAGGCAGCACTGCAAAAGTATCTAGCAAGTGAATTTGAGATGAAAGATCTCAGTGCTTTAAAGTATTTCTTGGGCATTGAGGTGGCCCGCTCATAACAAGGAATATTTCTATCACAACGGAAATATGTTCTTGATATTTTGACGGAAACTGGGATGCTAGCATGCAAACCAGCAGATACCCCAATTGAGCTGAATCACAAACTTGGTGAATATCCTGATCAGATACCTACCAATAAAGAGAGATATCAACGAATTATGGGTAAGCTAATATATCTTGCACATAATAGACTAGATATAGCGTATGCAGTCAGCATGGTAAGCCAGTTTATGCATGCACCAAGTGAAACACACATGGACGCTGTAAACCGTATCTTGAGGTATTTAAAGTCAACTCTTGGAAAAGGATTAATGTTTTCAAAACATGATCATCTAGACATTAAAGGCTACATTGATGCTGATTGGGCTGGTGATGTAACTAACAGACGATCAACATCAAGATACTTTGTTATTGTTGGAGGAAATCTAGTCTCTTGGCGTAGTAAGAAACAAAAGGTTGTTGCTAGATTAAGTGCTGAAGCAGAATATCGGAGCATGGCACATGGAGTATGTGAACTGCTTTGGGTGAAGAATTTACTGAGAGATTTGAGATTTAGGCCCAAGCATGCTATGCGTCTACATTGTGACAACAAGGCTGCAATTGACATTGCTCACAATCCGGTTCAACATGATCAAACCAAACATGTGGAGGTGGATAGATATTTTATTAAAGAAAAAATTTAGGCAAGACTTATTGAAGTTCCATTCGTTAAATCTGAAGATCAATTAGCAGACATGCTCACCAAAGCAGTCACAAGTTCAGTATTTCACAACTCACTAAGCAAGTTGGGCATTCATGACATCTACGCACCAACTTGAGGGGGAGTGTCAACAATAGCTGCTAGACATTATTGGTATAGACAATAGATTTGTAATTATTCCTCTAGTTAGCCATCATTACTTTATTTTATAGCTAGTCATCATTACTTTGCTTTATAGCTAGCCATCATTACTTTGATTTATAGCTAGCCATCATTACTTTGCTTTGCTTTCCTTTTCTTCTTATTTTCCTCTTCGGTGTTTTCCTCATGTAATCATCATTTGGCTTGTCCACTTGTTAGGACTAGTTTTTGGCCCTGTATAAGAGAGGACTTCCCTCTTGTAACAAAGAATAATGAAGTATATTTCAATTTCTGAGAACTTTTGACACCGAAATTTTTTGTAATAACACATTCGAATATGGTTGATACATATAGGCTTGTGGCATTCGATCTTGACTACGATCAAGTGAGATAGACGTTTTGAAATGTAACATGGTGTCCTGAATCTCCTGATAGCATTGCATTTGCTGCTCAAAATATGTATCAGAATGTATGCGGCAAGTCTATGCAATATATGGCAAGAAAGAGCAACTGAGTTGTGATGAATCAGAAATT